GGAGTATGTCATCTATGATGATGTCTCCCACGATTTGATTCTAACCTACTTTGACGATGTATTGGTCAAGGTTTCAAGCTGACCTATCCAATTATTCGACAAAAAGGCTCAGTTGATCAAGCCAAGTTGGACCCTTTATTGATCTAAAGTAGATTCCAGATCAAAAACAATAGATTACATGCATGTTTTATTGTACCATAAATAGTATCATTTGAAGGATACGAATATATTGCAATTTTTCTTAATTAACTACCAATTTCATTTCCTTTATTCATTATTGGGTGATTGGTTTTTAGGTTTGCTGCTTGGTTAATCCAATGGCGCTCATCAACCCTTGGTCTACATTTTTAAATGCGGCATTCGCTTAACATGCTATCAAAAGTTAAGTATCGAATATAGCAACAAACATGAGACGAGACAATCTTGTAGGACTATGTTTTGAGGAATAAATTTTAAGAAGTAAATGTGTAGGCTTTCTCTAATATATAACTTTTATTAGATAAGTTAATTATATATGGTACGTGGTAGACCGAGTAATTACTCTAAAATTAAATTTTACAGTCTCTTATTTATGAAATTTGTTCGCATTAAACTTTGATAAGAAAATGAATGGACGCCTTATTCTGAAAAGCCCGCGTCCATTGTTTTGGGTACTTTTGATATTGGTGTCGCCATATACTGCCAAATTGTTTGCCATAGTAAAATACAATATTTATTGTGAAACTGGATAAAACTTTTCTTGCTATCTCCGGATAATCATCCAAATGGCTACTAAACTTTGCAAAAGGTTTTTGCAAGGTTATTAAACTTTAAAAATCACCAAAATCATCATTAAATTTTGTAAAGGGTTTTCACGGGATCACTGAACTGGAAAAATCACCTAATTCATCTCAAAACTTTGCAAAAAAATTTCACGGGATTACTAAATTTTGCAAAAGATTTCCTAAGAGATAATAGAATTAGTGACCGTAAGAAATCTTTTGCAAAGTTTAGTGATGAATGGAGTGATTTTTAAAGTTCAGTAATCCCGTGGAAACCTTTTGCAAAGTTTGATGATAACTTGGATGATTTTTAAAGTTCAGTAACTCCATGAAAACTTTTTACAAAGTTAGTGACCGTTTGAGATATTATCTCTTCTATTTCACATGGTTAAGACGATTTCTTGCCTGTCGGAACTTTCTAGGGAGATTTCCATTTTCCATGTGGGAGTTAACAATGCAATTCTATGTTCAGGAAAATAATAAAATAAAGTGCAAAGTACATGCTTCAATAATTAAGTTGAGATGCGAACATCTACCTATTTCAACCAACTTTAAATTCTCTACAAATTACAATATCAGGATATTTAATTTTTTTTTGTACTTTTAATAAAATTTCATTATGTCAAAGACAAGCGTCTATTACAACATAAGAACTAAAATGAGGACATTGTTCACTCCTAACCAATTGCAACCTGAAATACTAACAGGAGATGTCAAAGTGTGCGTATCGCGCTCAAGAAATGAAATGACAAGAATCACACGTAACTAAATCAAGAAGTAGGGTGATATTCAAAAGAAACGAAGCGGAGGCCGAGAACCTCTTTAGAAAGTCGACATATGGAAGAATTGCACTCCACTTTCGAAATTCAAACTCCCGAGTTGACGCTTTGCAATCCTTCATGTAGCGCCAAATACACCTCATACATAATTAAAAAAATTTCTTAATGCATTAGATTCCTTTGATAATATTCCTCATTTGTGAGGAGGCATCCCTTCTTTTGAAATTACAGGGCTATTTTGCCAAATTTCTCAGAGAAAGTTGTCTCACGCTTCTAGATATTCTCTAATTACCCATCTGTGTCAATTTAAGTAAAGGAGCCGTGTTACTAGTGTGAGACAATAAATGTAATATTATCTCAAATTATACCTACTTCAAACCCAACTTATTACAAAATAATCTTTAAAATGTTAATGTGAACATCTTAGAAATATACCAATTAAGCACATGTTTTTTTATTGCATAGAATATTCTTCAATCTTCAAGAAAGGTCACGTGATGTGACAATCCTCTATACTTAGCTCCCATTTGCTCCCGTTAAAACTCTTCAATTTAATTTAATTTTTTCTCTCTCCTACTTTCAACTACACAATATTCAATAAAATAATATTACACTCAAATCGAAAACTTTTCATCCACACAATCTTCAAAATAATACTATTCCCACTATTATAAATTCAAATAATGGGGACCAAACATTATCTTATTTAACTTGAAATCCACTTTTAACCACGTAATAAACCAAGAAATCGTCGAACATCTCAAGTGGAGAAAGTAACAGCTGGAATGGGATGGTGATTCATTGTGATCTCTGTTTTCTTCCTGGAACTCATTTTCAACACAAAACCTTAACCAGCCTATTCCCCTACCAATGCTTTAGTTTCTTGGGCATTGATTAATAATATTGAGACAACCATCTCAAAGAATTTTAATTTCATGGTCCCACCCCATCCCTGTCTGAGTCAATGGATACAATTTGATGGGACCCAATGCCATGAGAATACATTGCCGTCCAGCTTATCTTCTAACAATTTCACAAAGATACAACTCAAGTGTCAGGTTAGGTTGTAATCTAAATTGGTTCATGCACGTTTGATTACCCATAAGTGAACGGGATCGTAAAGAAGTAATAAAGTGGTGTGTAGAGTGTTGAACTCACGAGAACTATATGATTGCTCAAGATAAAGCTAACACTACCCTTAATGGAATAACAAAATTGAGTTATAATTAAAAACTATTAAATCTATTAACTAACCTAAAAGCAATGTAAGAAAGTTTATCAAATTTGCAAGATATTTTGCTAAGATATAGAATCCCCCTTATTATTCCATTTTTAGTGTAACAATTACATTGACAATTTGAAACCATTCATGTTGGTCAATGTTCCTAATTTAATGGAAAGCATCTCTCAATAACGATAAAATTTATTTCCCTCATGTGATCCTTCTATCTCTCGATGAAAGATACAAACATGATAAATACATTAATAAGTACTAGAACACCCATTGAAACCATATAAAGTATAGAAGTATATCTCTATCATCTATCGAACTTTACAATGTTTATTATATTGTGCTAAAATCTTATTATCTCTCTCGATAACAATAAAATCCACTAACAATTCAATTGGTGATCAAACAATTAAAAATAACGATTAAAACGATAATAAACATCCACAAATAAAATCAAACTAAAGTCAAAATAATTAATTAAAAACTAAAAATATTATAACAAGGGTTCATTTCATCCTAACAACGTATAAAACTAGTTTAACAAATTGAAATTATAAGAAATCATATATAAGTGAAAAGACATAACCCGGATTTTTGATAAATTGAGAAGATGAAGATAAATCTTGAATCTATTCAATGATTTCTCCACTTGTGCTCTTTCTTCTTTATCCAATATCAAGTTTGAATATTCATTTGATTGAATTCTTGCAATCCCCTTCAATTCTCTCAAAAAACAATGAATTTTCCTCCCTTTATGATGATAATTGACGAATATAGGAGTATATTATGTACAAGAGATATGTATGAGTGCCCCGTTCACATATTCTCCTGTTGGGTATTTGCAGTGATCGAAAATTGGTGAAAAATCACGCCCAAATTAGTTTTCAAAAGAGTTCCAATCGAATAAGGAAAGTTACACTCGTGCCCGGATTTTTTGTTTCTGTATATTAGTCAGTATTTTGATCATAACTTTGTCTCTCAATATCCGATTGAGTTGATTCAAAATGCGTTGGAAATTTAACTAAAAGGGATACAATTTTCTTAGATATAGATATTTTCCAATTCGAACGTTTACGATGCCAAAAATTGGTCGCAATTCTTGACTAAAAATCTGGAAGATATATCATGTAATTGGAAGTCGATTTATGGTAATACTTTGATGATATTCCATTCCTTTTTGACTTCTAATTGCATCCAATTGACTCCCATCAATCTTTAAAATATCTCTTATGGTCCAATTCAACCATTGGATATTTGCAATTCGGTCCTAAACTATGTACTTCATCAATTTTCGCCTTTTTTGCTACTTTCTTTCAATTTAACTTCCAATCATCGATTTTTACCTAATAAATGAAATATACAATAAATTAGGCTATAATTACTTTAATGAACTATTAAAAGTCTATATCTTTAAGTCTACATAAATTTATAAAATACACTTATCAGTTCACACATTGGATTGATGCAATGCAAGTGCATGTAGCGCAAAAGTTCTTCGTCCATCTACACGCTCCACTTAATGACTTATTGATCAAAATTTAAATTTTAATCACATATTTTATAGATTTCACAACTTTTCATCTACATATTTTATCAATTTTTATTAAAATCTGATTTTAATCCTCATCGAACAAGTCCAATTTATAACTAGTCGAGTATAAATATAATGCTTGTTCTGCTTAAATGACATAGTTTTTGAGTAGCGAACCATAGTACATTTACATTGCTCGTCCCACCTAAATGAAATAATTTGCGAAAAGTGGACTGAGGCTATACAATGTTCAGCTAAGTGCAACAAGAAAACTGCATTTTATTACAAGATTTCTTGAGTCAAATAAACCTTTCTGGTTAATGATTTTAATTATACCTTCTTTTTATTCGTTAATCCTTGTACCGAAAAGGTTTTCAAGTCCAAGCAACAAAAAATTGCGATCAAATCTGTAGTTTCATGTTTATGAAGATCTTCTTACAGCTTTAACAAAGTTAAGGTAATATAAATAAAGATACTGACTTTTGTAAAGTAGATTTGAGCCAAATTGCATCAGCCCAAAATCCAAAAGTAGCATTAAAGTGAAATATAAAAAATTTCCCCATCTTGAGTAATTGCAATTAAACCGAAATCAATTCATCAATACAAAAATAAAATTTATTACCACCAATATGATGTAGACAAAATAATCAAATAAAATTAACAAGACAAGGGAATGTTTAAAGATTTAACAAGGAAACTTTGTGTGCAAAATTGACTAATTGTTTTTTTGCATTCTAATTAAATTGTAACATAACTGACATAAAAGAAAATAAATTATCAAGAATTTACAGATTACTCCACTGAGCTTCTTCTTCTTCTTGATGGATAAAAAAGGGTGATCTTGGAAATGAGAAAATTTCCCAATTTCGCCACCTCGTATGAAGGTCAAGAACTTAACTCAGCAAGCTTGAAGATCTGTGAATATGACACTTTATTTAAATGATAATGAAACTGTTTCTTTCCCTATTTTTATGAGAACCATAAAAGTGAAAAAAGCATTGTGATCAAGAAAGATATAGAATTTTTCAATGGTGGAGATGATGAAAGTGGTGGTGGAGGATTATGATAGTAGTACGGAAAATAAGGCACAATTGGATTTGGAGGTGGTGGTGCAGGGCCTGAAGGAAAGCTTTGGTACGGCGGAGGGTAATAGTATCCTGTACCACCACTAGAAGGAGGTGGTGGTGAAGAGTAAGTGTAGGTTGCTGGTGGCGGGTTCTTGTACCCAGAAGGAGAAGGCGGTGGAGGGCAGTTGGTGGTGGTGGATGAAGACGGCGGTGACGCTGGTGGTAGTGGTGGAGAAAGTGGTAGTGGCGGGGGCGGTGATGATGAAGGAGTATCGCATGGATTGTCACAGGCTGAACACATTGTGCATTCAATTTGATACTTCGATCCCACCCATGAAGTAGAATTTTCAGCACCCACGAAACACTTTATTCTTGATGATGATGCCAATGTTATCAAGAAAAGATTGAGCAAAAAGAATTGAACTTTCTGATTAATCTCCATTTGTGCAAGTATTGAATAGAAATTAGACATCAATCCAAGAATTTTATTGGGATTTTAGAGAGATTCAAGAGCCTATAGATGGAGCTGAGGGAAAAATGAGAATGTTAATAGAAAATTATAGATTGGTCCGCTTTGGTTGGATTAAAGGTTAAAGTAATGGAGCCTTATATAAATAGTAAATGGTACCGACCTTCTACCTTCCCCTGGAGCGGAAACGCCGGATGGAGTGGTGTTAGCTGTCTTCTTTATTGTGTAATTTTTTAATGGTTGTATAGAATTAAATTATCAATAGATTTGAGTAGAATGGCAGAAAAGAATTAATTTAGTTAAGATAAAAAAATATAATCTAGTAACTTACGGTATAAATGCAATCCATTATTGTCATAATTATTTGTGGAGAAATTTTGAAGTACAGATGATTCTCTCTTGTGGATGAAGTTATGAACTTTCTATTTTCTTTGTACTAGAGAATCCTAAAAAGAATGCTTTACCAATTTTCAATTAAGCTATTGATGGCACTCCTCTTTTTTACTTATAATCTTATTTATTTTTCTTAATGGCTTGACCGACCGCCTATCTTTTGGTTGGATCTTTCATTGCAATTGTAAATGGTATTTTTCATTTGTTGTGGTCCAAGTTCTGCTTGTATATATCAATTTCCTACTATCATAAAGACTAAGGTGTAACCATTTTCTTTGTATTCAAATCTTCGCTTCACACAGTACCCCATTTTTATTACAAACTCATTTTTAATTACATATTTAATGAGATTCACAATTTTTTTAACTATATATTCATCAACTTTTATCAAAATCTGATTTTTAAGAAAATCGAATAGGGATAACTTTTTTAACTTGAGTATAATGTGATGGTATTTTATTCTTGAATTAGACACACAAAAATAGATTTATTAGAGAAGCAAATGACATTTTCAAGTGACCAATCAAACTTTCCAGGCTGGATTATGAGTCATGGTACTACGTTCTCAAACAATTGAGGTTACTTTTACACGAGGTCCATTACGTTTTAATACAAATAGATGATTCTCTCCCCTTTTTGATTAAAAAAAAAAAAAAAAAGAGAGTGAGAATAATTTGGGAAAATTATGATCAGGCTCTCTAACCTTCTAACTAATGTGAGTTTAGGTTTTCGATCTCCAAAAGTGAGGTTTTCAGTTTGATCTCCACATATGGAATCTGTCGATATCAAGGTTTAAATATGTACAATGTTTATGTGACTTAAAGTTGAAGTCTGGAGGTTAATACCACCAAACCATTCAACGTCTAGTTTCATATCACGTAAAAGTCACTTGCAATTTTAACGTTTACAATAAAGATTTCAATCATGTTGGGAACTAGAACCTTAGTTTAAAGGGTTAGGGACCCGAACCTACATTTTTTTGAATAGTTTAAGCTAATCATGATAGGCTAATACATATCTCCAAATTGCGATCATGCCTCCAAAAAGAATGATTTTCTAAGCTTAAAAAAACTAGTGAATCGACTCCAGTAACTTGCAACCTTAGTTGCCTATGTACATATATGTCTTACAACTCAATGCCTAAATAAGCCCAAGGAATCAATTAGAAAGTTAAGAGAAATATCAGTTTCATAATAAATGAATTAACTTTCCATGATTGGATAAAAGAGGAAGTGGCTAGGGATGGCAACGATATAGGATTATTTGAAAGCAAAACTTTTCAATCCCACTATTCTCAGCTAAAGAAATAATCCATTAATAGTGAGATTAAAATTGATTTTTCCGTCGCCCCTTAGGTTATCTTTATTATTTCCCTCATCTCACTATAAGTGGCATTATATTTTCTAAAATTTATTATTTAGCTTATGCTCAGCAAAAGTTTTTCGGTCCCTCTATTTCTAACTAAAGAAATAGTTCGATGGAGAGATGAAATTAATTTTCCCTTGTCCCTTAAGGTACTTCTCTTACCGTTTCGTTGTAGTGTGAGTTGGTTAATAAAGTACTACAATCACTTTCAAACTATATTTATAGTCCTAACAAGCTTTAATCAAAAGTTTGGGACATTCTTCCACTTTGTTGGGACACTTAGGTTTTGACACAATTTACACTTGAGCTAACATATATATCTGAGGTTAATGAGGAAAGTTGTCGAGTAGGAGGCCACAATTCGTGTAAGCCGCTTGCCCAAAGGTAACTCAGCTATGCAATCAAGGTCCAAGTGATGAGCTTGGAGCAACTACGAGTACAATTTACAACCAACATTGTGTTGTAAAATTAATGTGATTTGTGCACTGAACTATCAATTATAAGCATGAATCAAATAAAATAAATATGATAATAAAGTTAGAAAAGCTGGTTTAAGAGAGTTGCGATAATCGTTGTCTTAAAATCGTGTAGCCTTCCCTTCGTACAGGTGTTTTCGGCACCATATGGCTCCAAGGTAAAATCCTTATAGCTCGCAGTCAATTCTTCTTCTATGGGCACGACCACGGAGAGAGAGAAAAATAACAAAAACTAATATAAAATGGCTAAAGAGTAATATGAAAAGACTAAAGAGTATTTTTCAAGTGTTTGATTTATTTTATGTAAAACAATAAGAAATCCACCTCCTTTTATAATAGAAAAAATCAATTCTCTCATAATGAAAATTAATCAAATTCAACATAAGTTACAAATATAATATTGGGATTAAATTTTTGTATTGAATCTAAAAATTAAAAACAAAAACTGAAAAGTTAAAAAAATAAAAAGTGAAAACTTGGAAATTAAAATGAAAACTGAAGTTCTAATCTTCAATTTTGAAAGTTTTATAATAATTTTCAACAATCCCCCATCATAGGCCTCATTTGCCTATGCCCAGACCGGCCCTGGGTACTTCTCTTATCGTTTCGTTGTAGTGTGAGTTGGTTAATAAAGTACTACAATCACTTTCAAACTATATTTATAGTCCTAACAAGCTTTAATCAAAAGTTTGGGACATTCTTCCACTTTGTTGGGACACTTAGGTTTTGACACAATTTACACTTGAGCTAACATATATATCTGAGGTTAATGAGGAAAGTTGTCGAGTAGGAGGCCACAATTCGTGTAAGCCGCTTGCCCAAAGGTAACTCAGCTATGCAATCAAGGTCCAAGTGATGAGCTTGGAGCAACTACGAGTACAATTTGCAGCCAACATTGTGTTGTAAAATTAATGTGATCCGTGCACTGAACTATCAATTATAAGCACGAGTCAAATAAAATAAATATGATAATAGAGTTAGAAAAGCTGGCTTAAGAGAGTTGTGATAAGAAAAGCTGGCTTAAGAGAGTTGTGATAATCGTTGTCTTAAAATCGTGTGGCCTTCCCTTCGTACAGGTGCTCTCGGCACCATACGGCTCCAAGATAAAATCCTTATAGCTCGCAGTCAATTCTTCTTCTATGGGCACGACCATAGAGAGAGAGAGAGAAAATAACAGAAAAAAATAATATAAAATGACTAGAGAGTAGTATGAAAAGACTAAAGAGTATTTTTCAGGTGTTTGATTTATTTTATGTAAAACAATAAGAAATCCACCTCCTTTTATAATAGAAAAAATCAATTCTCTCATAATGAAAATTAATCAAATTCAACATAAGTTACAAATATAATATTGGGATTAAATTTTTGTATTGAATCTAAAAATTAAAAACAAAAACTGAAAAGTTAAAAAAATAAAAAGTGAAAACTTGGAAATTAAAATGAAAACTGAAGTTCTAATCTTCAATTTTGAAAGTTTTATAATAATTTTCAACAATCCCCCATGGGTTTTAAAACTTTCAATATATATATATGATAACAATTTTTATTTAAGGGGGCCATAATGACTAAGCCTTGAATTAGATTCCTTTAATCAAATTTCAATTGTTCTACACACGGTATCGATTTAGCCTCAATCATGGTTGGTAGTGTTATTAATGACCATGTGTACTTATCTTGATTCTAGTAAGAGTCTATAGGGAATAGCCCAATTCTATAGTCACGGCCTCATGATAACTCTTACATATTCGAGTTAGAGATGACAATTTGAAGCGTCAAAATCGAAAATCGTGGTTAACCGAACCGAATTGGGCGAAAAAAACCGAACCGATGGTGCAATGGAGCGGATATGATTTTGATTTTAATGAACTGGTTCGTAATGGTGTGGGTATGGTATTTACGTCGTCGAACCGAAACTGAATCGATTACCAGCTAAAAAAAAAAAAATTGAATTGATTATGGGCGTTACACTACTTTTATATCCAGATCAAAACAAAATCCCTCCCCTCCTCATTACATCTACCTGGCTCATTCGGTCAGCCCACTTACCATTAGCCCATAATAGCATTAGTATGATAGTATATAAATGCAAACCCTACTCTCCACAAACCACAAACTCACGCACGACTTCACTGCCTCTACGGTCCAAGTCGTCGTCACCTCCGAAAATTTGTTACATTTGTTAGTCATTCTATTACTGTTGATCATGTAAAAACAGAGTTCGATGTTTTTCTAGACATGCCAGTATTGCCAAGGATGAATAGCAATCACCTGTAAATGCTGATCTATGCTAGTAAGACTCGTAGGGAAGAATGAATCAAGTAACTTCGATACACAACAAGTAAGAATGAAGGAAAAG